TACCACAGCCAAGCAGTCGGTCAAAAGAATCCTGCCTTGAAGGGGTTAAGGGCTTTCTATTCCATAAACACTGCTTTGCCTGGGAAAAGGACATTTTGACCTCACCTTCCCAAATGGACCAAAATCCACTTGCGACAGATTGAAAACATGAACATGATTTAAGTGCCTCCGAAAAGCACCCTTTGTGTTTGCCGAAGGGCATCCTTTTTTGGCCAGTTTTTCCACCCTGCCCAATTTTTCCTCCGGGTTTGTCACTGCGAAAATGTTACTTCTTCGTTTAATTGAATCCAGTTCTCTGTCATAAACTTTATATCCCTGTGGAAAACACGAGCGTCTGCATTAACCGTTGACAATCCATTCGGTCGGTATGTTGAGAAAAAAAAGCTTGTTGGACTCATTCCCAGAATTCTAATATTTTCATGAGTGTTTCATCTGTTTTTTTTTAGTCAAATCCTGGGATGGAGGTCGCAGTGCCCTGGATGATGAAGTTGAGCAAGATTTAAGGAAAGACTGGCAGCGAGATTCCTACGAAGAAGAGTTGGACAGAGGCAAGGTAGGGATTAGGGATTCGAATACGTCCAAACATTGCAACTATTACTTTAAATAATACGCACGCACAAGGAAGCCCAAATGGTACATACGAAACTACTGTGGTTGTCCGTTCCATATACACAGTCCCTGCAGTGGCGAAGCAGCCTTTTCTCCACCCTTACATGGTTGAAATTTTGCTGCAATATCAGTATTTTGTAGTCATATCTTACAAGTGGGACGTTTGTTATTTTTTCAGTCTCCTGGGGTGTTTTGATGTGAATTTAGGGTTTCTTTGTTTGTTTGTTTGTTTGTTTGTTGGTTGGTTGGTTTGTTTGTTTTTTCAGATTTCTCCTTTTTTTTATTTTGTGCTTTTGGTAAGCCATGCCCAAGACCGTAGGCACGGCACTTCCACTGGTCCATCTAAAATCAACCATCTTTAATATTTCCAACGAGATGTAGGGTTCATGCAGCAAACATGCAGCACCGTAAAATAAGAATTTGTTCGTGTCCATTTCCACTTGGCGTAGAGGCAACACCATCACGCCTCCTGCATCTGGAAAACAGTCACCGAGTTCCCCTTGTGAAAAAGGCTTATTTCTGTCACTCTTTGACCAGGTCAAGAAAGTCAAAAAGCGCTATGACGACAGCCGGCACAAGGCTTTTGGCGGATGGCACAATCCCTTCCAAACAGTGCAAAACATGAGGAACAAACTCACACTTGACAAGGTAACGTGTCACCGCCACAAGATGAAACCTCAGTAATTGTTTTTTTTTTCCTTATTCCCAGATTTAAATGTATTGGCCAGAAAAGACACGACATGGAGAGGTGAAAAAAAGGAAAAGAAACAATTTTTTTTTTCCCACCCCAATCTAGCGTGTGTCTTGTTCTGGCGTTGATTTCAGACCGCTCAATTTCATGGAGGCTCTCCGGCTTTCTGTTTAAATGTGAAAATGTTTTCATTCCCAGCTGAAAATGGATGCTGCATTTTTCTAAAAATAATTCTTGGATTGTGCTAGTCATTCAGAAAAATTTATAATCATTAATATAGAAACACCGCAATTATGATTGACCGCCGTTACCATATTTTGCCCTAAACTCTTGCTTTTGACTCGGATTGTTAGTAACCAGACTCCAAGCTAGTTTTCAACCAACGATCTCCCCGTACTGGAAAGTACAAAAACTTAGAACCGTCTTCCTGTTATGCAATGCATCAACACCAAACCCAGAATTCCCACGACATTCCACTGACCGTGTCCCGTTGTCCCTGTTTTACAGGATCACCATGGTTACAGTCGGTTCTCGCACCACCCCCACGGAGAGCGCCCTCGGTGACAACAGAAAAGACGAGTACATTTGATATTTATACATTTAAGGGTACGACATACCTGTATATTATGCTGTAGATCAGATCTATTTTTTATCGTTTTATCCGGATCATTTTTGGGGGCAGGTATTTCTTTTTTCTTTATTTTTTCATGCCCCTCTATCAGACTTTATGTGGTTGGCATGGTTTTTGACAAATGGCGGTCGGCAAGGTGTTCTCTCTGAAATCGGTGCCTGATTTTGACTTAAGGGCTGGCTCAGCTAATTTTTCTGTTAGCATGAAATCTACTTAACTGCAGTTGTAAGAGATTCTACCATTTTTATTGTCTTATCGTTAGGATGACTTCCACATGTTCTTTTTGCCCAGTGTTAGCCCAGCAATTGCCGCGCGTTCAGTTTTAAACTAGTCCACAAGTCAGGCAGACAAATTACTCATAGGCAACATGAGGCAGTTTTTCTCTCGAATCAAAACCAATCACTAAAGCCACGATGAGAGCCTTAATGGGCTTTGTGCGTTGACCGGTGGGGGCGCTTTGCTACCTAGCAACAACTTCCAACTGCAGTGACTCTGGTGGGTGGAATTTTCACTGCACCGGCTGGCGTAGGCTATTTCTTTGTGAAATGTGTGCATACGGGGAGAGACAAGTAGTCTGCTGCCCATCTTTCCATTGATGTTACAGCTCTAAGTATGGAGGCAGGAACCAACCTGTTTGCTCGGCTTTCCTACCATTTGTCGGTAAAGAGGTGTACGAGGCCAGTGTGTGGCGAAAAATGTCACGAGCACCGTATTCGCACATTGCACCACTCAGGGCTAAAGGCAGGGGTAAAGTGGCAGCCATTACAAAGTCTTGACGTGGAAGTGAATTTACCTTGGAGATCCATGAATGTGTTTCAGTCTTCAGTCTCCTGAAGACGGACAAAGTACACTGTTCGAAATGTCGAGTTATTCCGCGGTTCTTCTCAGAACCACACATACTCAAGAAAGAGATTGATCCATGGTGTAACCGCAATCATTTTACTCGTATGAATGTATTTGTCGTATATTCTTGACACTATTTATGAAAATACTTGGTCAAAGAGGAGTGAAGAAGCAAGAGACAGTAAGACAGTGTAACACTGGAAAGGTTCCGTGATGTGTACTCTTCCATCATCTCGAATATTCCTCCAATTCTATGCACTTCGTGCACAAGTCACACCACCAGACTAACGGATGATTCACTTCTTATAAAAGTTCAATGTGTTCCCCTCTTCTCTTTTAGCACATAGTTCAAATCGCTTGATTTCTTTGATGCAAACGCAAAAACAACAATGGAGTTTCTTGTTTTTTATCTCATCTTGATTTGGAATGAGAAGCCTGTTGGTCAGAGCGCAGTTACAGTTGGACCGGGTGTTCTTTGCCAGCTGGTCTGCTTTCTAGAGTTTCAGTGCCCACGCGGCACAGAAATCGTAACCATGACAACACATCCAGCCCTGAAACGACGTGGACAAACATTTGTACATTACTTTTGAACACAAAGTTGTCTATATTGTGTACAGTTTACACTGTCAGAGTATTCAATTTATTCAGAATTTCAAACCGTCGGCCGAGAATTAATTTCTGAAGCTGTAGATTAGAAGTGGAACTGAAAAAAACAAACAAAACATGTTCTTTGATGAGTATATGAAAAAAAAAAGATGAGTAGGCTTTGGTACGTATGTGTATGGAGGCATTGGCAATGTTTCTTACCAAAATACGTGTAGCGAGATGGTTAACATGTCAAGGCAGTACCTTGTAGCCCTGGCATGTAAGGCGATGTAACGCAGACAAGTTTATTCGCAACCATCACATTGATTTGTTGGAAGATTTGGCAATATTAATTGTAAGATAAGGCCCAAGTACGGCTGCATCCGAATCTCTTGTCTAGAGCTAGGGCTAGGTCTTCGCTCCATTGGAAATGCGTGGAGACGCGCAGACAATAGACCCAGCCGTAGCTCTGGAAGCCCGTTTCGGACACGGCCTACGTGAAACATCTTCAGCGTTGTAACTCTGCATTGAACCAAGTGAGGAATGAAAGTCTTTTTTTTTTAAATTCCTTTAAATCGTCAGCTGCTTTTAAAATTACTTAAGGGAAGCAGGAGAGAAGAACTTTAATGTTTTGTTTTGTTTTGTTTTAAGCTCGCACCTTTAATTAAGTTCCTTGGGAATCTTTAAATTCGGCCCTCTAGGGGGTCCAGCTCATGGTCCATTGCTTTAACTACTTCATGCCGGGGCATTTTTCAATGTTGATGATGCTGGTCCGGCATGACTATCATTTTTTCTGTTTTCAAAATCCTTCAAAAATTCATCATTTAATTTAACGGTCGTTTATAGCTGTGTGGCTCATCGCTGCGGTGGTGGCGCGCTTTTGTCCCCGGTGGTAATCCGCTCGCTCTCAATGCCCCAAACCCTGATAAATGGTTTCAAAACAAGGCTGGATTATC